CGGTACTTTAGTTTTAAAATTAGTACCGAAACCGAAACCAATAAATCGGTAACGATATTTACTGATACCGATCGGAACCCTAATCAAAACCTATGCAAAACACAAGTCATGCATTTTCCTAATTCAGTAGGTTGTCAATTAATTATTTGTTATTATTATTGTTATTGTTGTTGTGTATGAGAATTTTATTGGAGAACTGGTTGTAGATGAGTTTGAACAGGTTTAATGTTGTTGTTAAAGAATGAAAATATTTTATTGGTTGTTTGTTGAGTGTAAATCTTTGGATGGGGTAAAACTGATTGTAGTTTTTTGAGTAAGTTTGGAAAAATTATAGGATAGTGAAGAAGTGACATATGGTATTGTTTTTAGATAGAGAAGAAAGATAATAAATTTTTCAAAGGTTGTGTTAAGACAAACATAAACTCAGTAACTTTGTTTAAATATGTTGTTAGAATTAAATTTGTATTATAGAAAAAAAAAGATAAGGGAAAAAGCGGTTATCATGATTATAAAGAAGAAGATATTTAAAGACAAAAAAATTATGAAGGAAGACTGCCACAGGCCTTTTTCCATGCAACCAAGAGCTAAGAAAGACATCCAACTTGCTTAGGTCTTGATCAGAAGTCTCATTCCAATACAACAATGTTTCTTAAAGTTTTTATATCCTTTAGGTTTAAAGCTTATTTGTCTTAAAAAATAAAGAGAGGAAGATACTTCTTGAAAGAAGATTTTCTAAAAAAAAAATTTTTAAAAAATTAGTAGTGAATAGATAAGAGTTTTTTTTTATTTGATTTAACATAATTGAAATTTAAATCTATACAAATATAATATATATTATAAAATTTTATTTTATTTTTTTATGGAGGTTTTTCCCTATAGATAAATATTATTTCTTTATTTGATATTGTATATAATATAATATACATCATGAAAGAAACAACATCTCTTACATACATAAAGTAACAAGTTAAATACTAGCTTGCCTACACATACACATATAACTAATATTAAAAAAGAAATTTTAAACAATACTATATATTAACTATATCTGAATAGTGGCTATGTTTACCTACTCAGAAAATTTGTAAAGTTTTTTTGTAAATTTATAAGTAAAGTAATTGGAGAAGAGAAAAAAATAAATATAATTAAAACTAAAATTAAGTAAAGTAGACTATAAAATTTATAAGTAAAAAATCAATTATTTTTTTAAAAAAATCTCTAGACAGGCTTATTGTTCCATTTTTCCAACTCATTGGTTACCATAGATAATAGAGTATACATGATATTTTTTGTTGTTGTAGTTGTCAGTAATGGTATAATTAATATTGTTATTGTGATTGTTATTATTATAGTACAAAACTGGTTTAAACAGGTTCAGTTTTTGTTTTGATTTTTAGATGAAATCTAATTGGATGATTGGAAAGTACTAATTATCTAAAGGGTAAACTGATTTTAGTTTTTTGGCCAGATAAGAATATTGGAAAGTTTGAGGTGGTGCAACAAGTGTCATCATAATAAGATTAAATTTGAGAGTTGACTTGAAACAAATAGTAGACTTACTAACTCTGTTTGAGTGTGTATTTTGAAAAGTATTTTGTTTAGCAAGTATAATAGTGATAATATAGATGGTTTTTATGATATAGTAAGGGTAAAGAGGATACAAGAGAACAAAAGAAAAGAAAACTGTCATGGGCCTTTTCTCATGCAATCAAAGGATAAGCAAGACTCTCAAATTTGAGTAGATTTTGATCAGAGGTCATATTCCACTGCACCAGTTGTCTTGAAGGTTTTTGAGTTTCTGAGCTGGGGCTCACTTGCGATAAAGAGTATAAAATATTTTTTCTTGCTTAAAATTATCATAAAAGAAAAATTTTTAACAAAACGAACATAATTAGGAAAGAGTTTTTTTAAAATTTAATTTTATTTATTTATATCAAATCTTATTTTAATTTTATAAAAAAAAAATTTTTTTTAAAAACAATATTTTTGTTTTGTTGAATATAGTTATAAAATTAAAATAAGATATTAATATATTTAAAAAATATCTTATTTATTATATTTAAATTTTTAAATATATAAAATATAAAAGTAAATATTTAATATAACAATTTATTTTTAATTTAAATTTTTAATAATTATAATTAATTTATATATATATATATATAAATCAAAGATTTAAGAAAAAATATTATTTATAAATGAATATTTTTAAAACAATAAATAGTTCTATATAATCTTTAATTTCTTTTAAAAACTATTGTTTGAATATTCAATCAAAATTATTTTAATCATAATATTAATAATACTAATAGTATATATTTTTTTAAAAATGTATATATAATCTAAAACAAGTATAAACCAAACTAATTTAATTATTTTATTAAAAAATTTAAAATAAAGTTTATTATTAATTAATAAGTTTTAAATAAATAAATAAAAATATTAATATAAAAATTACTTTTGAATTAAAAAAAATATGAAATAAATAGTAATTAGTAATTAAAAACTTTTTTAATCAAATATTTTAATTAAATTATTAAAGAAAAAAAAATAAACTTTAAAAAATACTTTGATAATAAAAAATAAAAGAAATAATTTAAATTAATAAAATTACAAAATAATTAATTGTGCTATATAATACAACTACAATATTTACAAATTAATTGGTAATAGTAATAACTTTATAAATAATCTTATAAAAAAAATATAACATAATTAAAATATAAAATATAAATAGATTTATAATATAATTAAGATTTTGTTAAAATAAATTGTAATAATGAATTGTAGTAAGAATAAACTTGAGTAATTCTAGAAATGAAAGACAAGAGAAAGTAATTTTATTTATTCTTAAAGTTATATTTAAAAATTAACATTATTCAAGCGTATGATTTATAAATTTCAAATATTGTTTATTGTTATAATTTAAAAAAATTTTATTTATTCATTTTTAAGAATTTAAATGAGATTTTAAAAAACATAATACAATTTTTTTTTGAAAATAAATATATTTTTATATTAATTTTAATTTTAAATACAATGAAATCTTTTTTTATCAATACCTTATTATATCAATATACAGTATATTAAATCGATAAGTTTCCTAGAATCATATTTTATTACATATTCTCGATACAAATAATATCTTGTTAAAATATATAAAAAATAATTGTAAAATTTGCTTTTACTGTTGAGTTCCGAATTTGCAAAGACTATTTTAGTTTTATTTATTTTTTGCATTTTTATATATTTGAGTGAACTAATGAAATTTATTAAATTAATTGTTTAGTTTCGTAAATTCTAAAGTGTACCCTTGATACACGTCATAAATAATGTCTAGAAAAATAAGACACCAACAGCAATAAATCCAACAATAGAAACCCATCCTAGTTGACCAACTCTTGATAGCCTAGTAGTAACGGCGTCTGACTTCACCGTTGGAGAGTTAGGCCCAGCCGTGGTAGTATTCGGCGGGGAACCTGCGTAGAAATAGTAGGTTGCGGTAAAATCAACAGATGTTTTTGCGTTGTTTTGAAATTGAACTCCGCCTGGTAAGATGATTATTTAGAAAGATTAGTAGTTGATAAAGAGTGTACTTTGTCGTTTACAGATACCCACACGTTGACGCTGACGGTGAGATTCCACGTTTTGTGCTGATGGTAAGTACATAACTAATATTACTAAATGCGCCACCCGGAACCGAATTCTAAAGGGATAGACTTTTATCAATTATTGCAACAAATAAAAAATCTAAACAACCAAGTTGAAAAAATTTACTTGCCACCACAACTTGTCTCTCCCAATTGATATTGTCGGTGCCATCGGGTGAAGCTACCGAGGAGTCAGGTTTTGTGATTATGGAAGAAGTATCATTGTCTAACAAAGATTTGAAAGTTGCTCGTCCTCCATTAATCGCTGTTAATTGAAATAATGAACTGAGAGTTTGGTTTACAGAATCCTTGAATAATCCGAATAATTAAATATTTATTGATACGCACGTGTAGATTGCCAGAAAAGAGAAGCTACTTCCCAGGAAGGGTCAAAATGCCCGTTGTCGTTGTTAATGAGATTAATAGTAACGTTATCTACGAGAGTGTGAGTTTAAATAAATGTTAAATTGCCCGAAATATTGTCAATGAATTAAGTTTCTCCTACTTACTCAGAACCCAAGATCCGGACTGACACAACCATTCATTCTTTCCTGAACCATAAAGTAAAAATGAAAACGTGCTGCCACTTGGGACCGAGATATTTGATGGTATATCAGGCGAATTCGGTTTCTCTGCAATTTCAATCTTTAGATGATTTCTTCAGAACTTCATTACAGAATGAAAGGGCTGTAGAAAAGCTTACGTCTCACAGTTCCAATATAATGTTCTTGTTGCGGAGCGGGCTGTGCCGATGGTGCCTGACTTAAAGCATATTCGACCACAAACATTAAACACACTGTCAACACTTTTAAGATTTGATACATTTTTTCCGTAGCAAGAAACATTTATTTGTTTTTTTTTTATCTATTTATTTTTCAGAAAAGAAAAGTAATAAGCAGGAACTCTATACGCGATTAATGCACAATGCTTTTTAAATATAATTTGACTATTTCATTTCTGATGAATGAAGAACTTTTATGTTCCAATGGGAGTTCGTGATAATACATATTTTATCAGTACTTACATGACTGTTTACAGTTTGAATAACTTAATTTAGGGCGTACTATAACATTCTCCTTACTATCTTCTTATTTTGTCATTATTATTCAAGAATATTTTCATCAAATTTGTCCTTACCGTTGATGTATTCAAAGGAACACATTCATCCGGAGATGTCACACGTACCACAAAGTCTGAAGAAAAACATAGTGGCACTCATTGTGGTATGTAACGTTAATTTGTGATCAGTTAAACAAAAAAGATCGTAACTACGTTTAAGTAGCAAAAAGCTTAACGACATACTGTACACAAAGAAACTGTTCAAAAAAGACAAGCCAATCAGAAGGTTTGGCTATGGAAAAATCAGTTAATCTATAAAAGAATGATCGATGATTTGATTTTCAGTTTGTTATATCCATATTATAATGATTAAAACTTTGTTGATTTTTTTTTAACAAACAATGATGAAAAAGATTTTTTTTTTGTTATTGATAGATTTTGATGCTATTTTGGCAATTATTTTTAAAGTCGACAAAAATACTGACACATGTATAATGCAAATTTTAGGATCACAATTATAGGGTCCATAAAATTCTTGTCTACCTTCGAAAATAATTATTCATTTATTATCATATGCGAAATGCTGATGATTTATGCAGGGTTTAAAAATCTCGAGTATTGTATTTCTAAATTAGTTACAAACATGATATACAAAATAAGTTTTTTATATGCTACTAGTACCCTTTACCCGAAGAATAGGTTTTCTTTTAATTTTATCACATTTATATTTTCATTAGCGAAAAAAATTATATTTTAATTAATAAAATAAATATATTGTATTATTTTTATATAAAAAAACCATTATAATATATATTATAATATAAATAAAATTTTATAAATTTTAACAAAAGGTTATATATAAAATCAAATATATTATATAGATTTTTGAAATTTTTATAATAGATAAGTTATATTTTCTTTAGAAATTAATATTCAAAAATAATATTTTAATAAATTTTAAATTTACAATTATTATCTAATAGTTATTGAAATATTAAATTTGAATTAATATAAAGATTGATAAATAATTATTAATTTATTAACTTAATCATATTTTATTTTAATAATATAATATAAAAATCTTAAATAAATAAATTATATTAATTTTTAAAAAACATATACATATAATATTTAAATATCATTATTAACAAATTTGAATAATTAAAAAACTCTTTCCCACTCCTCCTTCTATACTTGAAATTTTTCTTTTTAGGAAATTTTTGAGTTGTTTACTCTTTCTTTTTTGCTCATCTTTTTTTCCTCTCCTTTACATCTCCTTCCCTATTTCTTACACCTTTTTTTTATAGACTCTTTTATATAAAACTTACTTCTTCCTTTTCTTTTTTCCCTTCCCTGCTGAAGTTAGATTTTTCTTTCTTCCTGAAGGTTTTCTTTCTAGGCCTCTCTTTCTTTTATAAACTCATTCTCCATAATATCAACCCCCTGGTCAGTTGATTTTCTTTTTTCAAGATTATATATAGAAGTGGTAACTTTTTTTAAGACATGGACTTTAGAATTTTTCTCTTTTCCATGGCCTTACAGAAAAAGGATGAATGGCTTACTCCCTTTAAAAGATTGATATGATTATCATTATCAAATCCAGTGTTGTTTACTTGTTAATGGTTAAACTAGATATATCTAAGAAACCAGTATACAACTATTATTATTCAAAAGTATCCAAGAAGTTGCGCACTATTGTATCCAGAAAGATATGACAGCCAATGCCAATGCAGTCAACAATAAGCTAGGTTAGTTGCAAGTATTATGCTAGTAATTGGAGAACCTAATAAGATAATACATAAAGACTAGAAATTCTAGTTACCCCCACAACACGAGCTAGTAATGACAACGAAAATTCTTTGCTTACTTCTCTAACAATATAAGCTCATTGTACAAAGTTAAGTAACAATATCTATAAGAAACTTCAACTTCATTACATCCGACAACTTCCTTTAACAATCACTATTATATGTCCAAACACTTTTCTTTTACCTTTTTCTTTCTTATACTAGTACTAATTTCTACTCAAATACTTAAATAGTGCAGCTATATATACAAAGCTTCTTATGAAGAGCAACTGTCTCCTTCTCTACTTGCCACAGATGTAGGTAACTGCCACAGGCCTGATCAACCTGTAATCTGTCGCAATCCTAAAATGGTAAAGAAGGTTAAATACTAAATGATCAGATGAAAAGCTAATTTCCATAAGATGTTTATGTTAGTGTAACAACTATTTAATTAATTAAGCAGTTATTTATAGGAAGTATATGGTGAAACACATTTTGACTTACCATATATCAAGTCACATTTGAAAAGCAAACTTGTCAATCCTAGTTATGACTTGGAGGCCAATCTGTATATAGTGGCTACAACGCTTTTATGTAGCTAGGTATTCAATTTTTCTAGATAGCTAGATACCATCCAAGGTAT